TGTTTAGAAAACTTAAATCGCAGATAGCGATATTTTGTAAATGTTCGTAAGCATAGATTTTTATGTTAGTAATTTGGCGAGAAGCTACTTGCGTTAAATACTTTTTGTTAAGAACTCGCAAGTTGCGAGAAGTAAGTTCTGAATAAGTTTAGTCGGAAGACTATTGGAATACTATAATATGTTAACGTAAAGTTAAAATTTCGTGTAAATGTTGGTAAAGTGTAATTAAGCAACTATGACTGTTGATGTAAAATGAATTCAAAAGTAATGTGTAAATATTTAAATGTTCATGTTCATGTAGAAATGTTTGATCTTTGTGTGGAAATATCGTAAGATTAAAAGGACATAGAAAATAAATTTTTATATCTGTGTATGAGAGTTACGGAAGAATGTAATACTGATATATATGTGTTAATGTTAGGCTCTCCAGTTAACACGTTTAAAAGTAAAATATAAGCTTTTGCTTACTACAATAGGAAACAGTTTTCGTTTGTTGTAGGGAGTCTTGTCAGGTCTAGTGTGTCAAATTTTAACAAAGTTAGGTGTTGTGTGTGTAGTAGGGTTTGTTCGCGGTAACACAACATAGAAGACCTTAAGTACGTTTCAGTACATTTGCTGGAGAGCATGGGGGTGAAATAAATCTATAGATGAATGAAAGTGCATAAGGGCGAAATAATGAATTAAAATCGTAAAGCTAGGATTTTTTAAAGTCAAAGTTTTGTAAAAATGCATTACTAATGACATTTCCTTCCAGATATGGAAGGATCAAGACCTGAAAATAAGTCTAGCTGAATAAAGAGTATGTAAGAAGAAGATTTATGTCAAGATATAATGTCCAGAAAGAATTCATTGTAAATTTTTATTTTTCCTATCTTTAGTCTAGCTTTTAGAATTGTTGTAAAGTTGACCCTAAAAACAAAACTTTAAAGTCATTTAGTTAATGTAAAAGTTGGAAGAGTGTAGTTAATATAATTTTTCAGACTTTAAAGTCTTAAACAAGGTCGTTTTGAGACCTTATTTTTCGAGTATTTAAAGTCTTGTCGGAAGCTATGTAAGGATTATGTTAATTTTATTAACGGCTAAATTTTAAGTTAAAGTTCCTTTCCTGTCAAATTCTTAACTTCAACTTACTACTTCCGGCCAGAACGTAGTTTTGGAATTTGCTGAATATTTAATGAGAAGGAGCGGTATTTAAACCACGAAGTTACTTACCGAGACAGAGAGAGAAACAGAGCTTCTGAACTACGCGCGTCTGCCTTTTTGGCCGCTCTCTCTCTCAAAGCTGTTATCCGCTCGGCCGGCCGTACTCAGGCCCTTGCTAAGCTTCGTAGTAAAATAGGTTAAGGGGCCAACTCTCAGTGTACCCTTGATAGCTTTGGCTATACTTAGTTACTTAATCTTAGTTTAGTTTAATTCTTAGTCTTTTAAGTTCAAGTCCAAAGTGCGGATTTTATTGTTCACTCCCAGGCGGAGTTTTGTGAAATCTTATAGAAATAATAAAGGGTTATTTACCCTTCTCTTTGTTGTTTCCTGTCTTCGAACTCTAGCGATTATTCGCTTATCAGTTCCTAGGTTCTCATTCCAACATAACTTAGAATTTTCAAGTGAGGGACCTTACAATTTGCGCCCGAAAAGAATTCTAAACGGACCATGTCGTTAGAGTCCGGGAAGTTTACGTTGACCCCTCCGACCTTTCAGGTCCCTACAACATCCACGAATCCAGTAGAAGGGTTTGGATTCCTCGTGGAAACGCTGCATGCAGCCATGAAACCGACAGCCACTTTCGATGGCAAGGGCTCAGTCCTGGCATTTTTGGAGCAACTAGACCTACATTTCACCTTACACCCTGTGAATCAGCTACAGAAAGTGATTATCGCTACGACAGCCTTAAAAGGTCAAGCCCTTAGCTGGCAGAAGAGTATAGGAAAGTTCTTGTTGGGGGACCCAGGATCTGAATCATATAACTGGGAAAATTTCAAATCTGCATTAATAAAAGCATTTCCAGTGGTTAAAGATCGTGCGAAACTTGAATCAGAATTGTTATAGTAAATATCAAGGAGTAATTTCGATGACTTGACGGAATTTCATTTTGGGACGAAAACTACAATATTTTTAATTTATTATACGGGAAAAGGCCTGAGAATGAACTTACTGAAGTAATTCTACCGCGTCTTCTACCGTCAGCGCAAGATTTCCTTCGAAGTGCGTAATCCGGCAAATATTAGAAGTTCTATTTCCAGCTTGCAAGTGAAATTCCAAAATAGAAGAAACTCGGAGAAAGCGCGTGCAAGTCCAGTTTGGACCAGTACTCAAGGATTTACTTCCCCCCCCAAAAGAAACCGCAAGTTCAGTACAATGCTTATTCGGCAGACGGGTAAAAAAGTGAAAAGTTCAATAAGCAAGAGCGCAGATAAAGCAAAGGGCGGCGGAATAGAAAAATCAGCGTAAAGAGGCGGCAGAGTAACCAGAACTTTAAACTCAAACCGGTGATCAAAAAGGGGCAACGGTCACCGTGTGTAGGAAGGAAGACCCCTCAGAAATTTCGTTTTAATACAGTCGTGATGGTACAAAATCTTAGCTATGCAGGAGATACAGATTTCTGGTAAATAATGTACCAACCTCTGCACTCCTGGACACAGGGGCACAATGTTCATTCCTATCGGAAAGATTTTTTCAAAAAAGCATTTTCGTCGTTACAAACTGTTTAATGCCACAGGACAAAAAGTAATTTGCCGCCCGAGCAAGGCAAACAGTGCGTATGTTTAGGGAAAACCGCACTGCATGTTCAGATTAAAAACTAGGCGTCCTAAAAAGTTAATTTTCAAGTCGTGAAAAATTTACTCACGTCCAGTTCATATTGGAGGATCGATTTTTTACGCGCATCCGGCGCAAATCTTAATTTTCAGAATTTCTACGTTTCAGGTGCACATGGACCCGGTACAAGAAGGTGAAGGTTCCATGCCGGAATTGAATCTGGATCATTTGAAGTTAGAAGAGTAAAAGAAGATTGAAGAATTGGTAAGAAAATTTAATTCTATGTTCAGACGACAAACCTGGCTTCTGCCAAGTAGTTAAGTCCATTCTATTAGATACTGAGGCAATGCCCCTCCAGTCCGCTCGAAGCCCTATACCGTTATGATAGGGTAAAAGAAGAAAAAATTATCGAAAAACAGATGAAAAGTATTCTAGAAGAATAAAATTAATTGTGCCAAGCACTAGTCCATACGCACTAGTCCGGAACGCAAGTCCGGTGGTCCTTTGTAGAAAGAACGAATGGGATACCACCTGAATACCCTGACACGTATAGGTTTTGCAGTCGATTATCGTAAACTTAAACAGTATAACAAAATATCCCACGTCTTCCTCTACCAATAATTCACGAAATAATTCAGGAAACATTCGCTCGACTTAATTTATGACAACCTTAGACTTAACGTCGGGTTACTTTCAAATCGCCTTAAAACCTGAAGATGTTGAAGAAGACTGCGTTTATTACAAAATCAGGTGTATATGCCTTCTTAAGAATGCCGTTTGGTTTAAGCGGAGCGCCAAGTTCCAAAAAGCTTGGTCATAGTTTTAAAGCCAGTTTTAGGAAAAGTCACTTTATTTTATGGCCTCAGCTAATGATACTTCCTCTGTTGTGACCCCATCTGTGGTCTCAACTCCTTCCACTTCTGTGAACAATATTGATTCTGATAATATTAGTACAGAGAGAGTACATACTTTCCCGTATTGCTGCAGCTCAACAATTCACTGGGTCAGAAAAACGCTAGGCACAAACTGAATAAAACCTATACTAAATTCTTCACAGATTTGTTCTTATTATTGCAAAAAGCACTTTTGGATAGAGATTCCCGTATTCTGGAGGAACGTGTGCAAAAAAAGAAAACAGCTTTAGCACTTAACGATTCTTTGCTGAAATCTCTATCTTTGATTGACCCATCCTTAGTTCCTAATTCTTTAATTAATTCTGACCCAGCTTCTCAACAGCCTCCTAATAAAGAGGACGATTCAACTTTCACTCTTGTGGAAAAGAAAAAACGAAAACCGCGTTTACCAGTGAAGTCTGAACATGTTCTGTTAATTGGCTCTTCCAATTCAGATTGTTCACCACAGGATATTCAAAAACAACTTGCCTCTAAATTGAATCCTAAGAAAATTAAAATTCCAATTAAACAGATTCGACCTGCGAGGAATAACGAACTATTAATACGCTGCTCCACAAAGGAAGATATATTGCATTTGAAAAACACTTTGAAAGCTTCTAAAGAATTGCCGAATATCAAGTTTCGAGAGCCTAGAATTCCTCGTGAATCGATTATAATCTTTGGAGTTCCTGCTGATTATACTGCAGACGATATAATAGAGTCCTTCGACCATTTACACTCATTTGGAGACCTATCCCCGATTCACCCTAGCACACCATTACATCGTGTAGATTCCAGGAACAACTGGATAGTTCAAGTCGATAAATCATACTTTGATCAAATTGGTGAAAAGGGAAGGATCTACTTGGGATTTACTTCCTGCCCATATAGAAGGTATTACCGTCTGCAACGCTGCTATAATTGTCAAAAAATAGGACATTTAAGCAGATTTTGCAAGGAACCACCTAATTGCGCTAATTGCTCTAAATCGCACGATACTCCTACGAGGGATTGTAGTGATTCACCTACCTGTGTCAATTGTCTAGATTCTAACTCAAATCTCAAAACCTCCTTTGATTGTAGTCATCCGGCGAATTCTAAAATATGCCCGTCATACAAGCTAGCGCTACAGAAACTTATGCGGACCCAAGCTCAGAATTGAAGAATCAACCTCTTGCAATATCTGATCCATCGTCAACTCTGCATAAATCAAAAGAATGCCACAATTTGAATTGTGAAACCAACACCTCTAGACTAAGTTCATTAAATCCTTCTAACTTAGCTATACGCACACTTGATTCCATAAAATTTTTGCAATGTAATTTACAACGTTCTATAGTGGCAACCAGTCACATGCTTCATCAACAATTGGAATTGGGAATAAACATTGCTCTGTTGCAAGAACCATATATTAAACTGGATGGTACAATTGAGGGAGCTTCACTCACTCTAAAACAATTCTTCTCTGATAATAAACTTGCAGCAATAGTTGTAAATAGTGCTTTTAATCCAACTTTATGGCATACTACGGAACACACTGTTTCCATTTTATTGGATGTAATGGACCTCCTCTTAATTATAAGCGTCTATTTTCCTCCAAGCCAAAATATTGATAACTTACTATTTGAATTAGATTTCTTACATCGCACCCAGACCCAATTTATTTTGTTGGGCGGAGACTTCAATGCTTCGAGCTCTTTGTGGGGCTCATCAATGGAAAATGCCAGATCATCAACGTCGGTGCTTGAATTTATTGAATCTCACTCATTAATAATATTAAACGCAACGGACTCTCCTCCAACTTTTCTAACTAGTCGTGCTAGAGGTTGGCCTGATATAACTCTTTCTTCTCTGCAACTTACTCAATTTATTAGTAATTGGTCAGTAGTAGATGATATAATAACCTTGAGTGACCACAAAGCAATCACATTCCTCCTTGAGTCACCATGTAATTTTATAGTTAAGAGACGTTTTAAGATAAATTTTCATCAATTCGAAGCTTTTAGAGCAAATCTTTCTCCTTATTTGGAGGAGATTATTTCGCAATTTCAGAATTGCTCCACACGGAAGGAACTTGATATTGCATATGAAAATTTTATTAACATCTGCTCTAATGTTTGCAAACATACTTTTAAAGTTAAACAATATCGTTATCACTCTTCAGCTTCATGGTGGACAACAGCTTTAGCCAAAGAACGCAGTGAAGTGCGAAAGAAACGACGTCGCGCACAGGCAGAGAAAAACTCCTTCTCTCCGTCAACAACTTTTTCAGTTATATAAACAATCTTATGCGGTCTACAAACGACATATTGCAGAGGCAAAAACTGACCTCTTGGAGAAATTTCTGCTCAAGAACAGTCGATTCATTTGGAGTTGTTTTTAAGATTGCGACGGATAGGGTTTTTCGCCCGTCCTCTTTACCAGCTTCCTTAAATCCAACAGCAAAGGATACATCAGATGTTTTAGCTTCTGTTTTGGAGAATTTATTTCCTCAAGATTCCAATGAAGAAGACTCTACACAACAAGCTTCCTTGCGCACTTCTTTTGTTCATTCATCAGTGATCTTTCCTTCAGCAAATCCTCTGCCGACCAATGAAGAGATTTCTACAATAATTACTAGACTAAATATTAAAAAGGCTCCTGGCCCAGATAGTCTGGACAATGCATTTATTAAGATGTTATACCGTCTCTCTCCAGACACCATTCATCTATTTGTTCGTAAATGTTGGGAGATGCAATATTTTCCCAAAATGACAAAAATAGCAGATGTGGTCTTATTCCATAAACCAGGACGAGATTCTTCACAAGTGGCTTCATATCGCCCTATAAGTCTAATCCCTGCATTCGGCAAATTGATTGAGAGGGTGATCTTGGGCAGACTCCTCTACTTTATGCAAACCAATAAAATCTTAGCACAAAATCAGTACGGCTTTATGAAGGGTAGATCTACAGAACATGCCATTTCCAACTTGCTAGACCAAATTAATATCAATAGAGCAAATGATTTACATACCCTGATAATAAGTCTTGACATCCAGGGGGCCTTCGACTCTCTGTGGTGGCCGGATATCTTTGATATTCTGGTGGCCATGGAGTGTCCGGGGGATCTCCTGGGCCTTATTCGCAGCTATCTGGATGATCGTTTTATTCAAAATTATGCATGACAATGGAATTGTCCGTCACAAGTTATCCAAGGGTTGTCCCCAAGGATCCTGTCTAGGTCCTATTTTTGTGGACCATAGTTGCCAACTCTATCCTCATAACTCTCAAGAATGAAGATAATTGTTCAGTCATCGCTTATGCGGACGATTTTCTGCTTGTGATCTCAGGCAAATCTAGGCTGGAATCAACAGCCCAGCATATCTTAAACATCTTTTCTGCCTGGGCCTCGATAACATAAGATAATTATTTCGACTACCAAAACACAAGGTCTAGTTATTGGTGCTCGCCGCCCACTAAAACGAAATCCATCACTCAAGCTGAATGGTACATCTATTAAGATCGTCCCTCAAATAAAATATTTGGGATTAATAATTGATCAAAGACTGTCTTGGCTACCACATATTAAATTTCTTAGGAATAAACTTATTAATTTACATCAGAATATGAGACGAACTACAGCCCCAAGCTGGGGAGTCTCACAACGCCTACTCAAAATTTGGTACCAGACTGTAATTGAAAAAATTATTTTATATTGCTCTGGAGTATGGGCTGCTCATTTGACGACGAAACTGGAAAAAAGAACTTTACTTTCAATCCAGAGATTATTTCTAGTTCAAATAGCTCGAAGCTATAGAACGTCCTCAACAGTAGCACTTCAAGTTTTAACAGGCATACCGCCAATAGATTTGGTCGCTGCAAGAGAAAATACTTTGAGTAGGGTTTTACGTCTCACTCAAGATTCTACTCTATGGGGACGTACTTACAGCACGGCTATTTATGATAAGAAGGTTAATTATCAAATTTGTCATCCAGCGGCTTTTAACCTTCAAAATTCGATATCTTTACAACCTGTTTCTTTCTCTAAAGGCATATCCATTTTTACAGATGGATCGAAAATGTCCACTGGCACAGGCAGTGGTTTATGTATCATGAATGGCATAAATTTATTACGTGAATGGCGAAGACGTTTAAATATAGAAAATTCTGTCTTTCAGGCAGAATTAACTGCATTGAAAAAAGCCATTTCCTTATCTTTTGCATTTTTACAAAAAGTCACCATCTATAGCGACTCTCAATCCAGCCTCCTGGCTATCGCAAATCCTAATATTCGACATAGCCTGGTTTCTTCAATTCAGCAAGCCCTTCTAAATTTACCTGATGCAATTCGCCCACAATTATCGTGGATTCCTGCACACCAAGGATTTGTAGGAAATGAGCGCGCAGATGTTTTAGCGAAGCAAGCCGCTCAGGGAACAATGCTACCTGAACATGCCCTTCCATTGCCGCCTTCCCATTTGAAAAGATCAACATTTACTCAACTAATCAGTGAATGGCAATCACGTTGGACTGCTGCCACTACCGGTAGACGAACCTTTAAATTCTTACCAAAAGTCTCCGTTGAATATTTAACCACTTCTGCAGCCTTAACGTATTTCCTTACTGGACATGGACCATTTAAACAGTACTTATTTAGATTTGGGGCTTAATGACTCAAATATTTGTGAATGTACTCTTTCTGAAGGCACTCCTGAACATTATGTATTTGATTGTCCTGATATACGCCTTCACTTGCAGAGACCACCAGAGACATCCTGGCCAATATGGCTTACACATATTACGTCAAACCCTAATTTGTATGGTAAATTAATTACAATAATTCAACAATGTTCAGAACTTTGCGCATATCGCACTTCTTAGTGTTACTGCTATATGTATTTTAATGCTATTGTATTTTATTGCTATATGTATTTTATGCTATTTTATTTGCTATATGTATTTTACCTGTATATTTATATGTATTTTATTTTATTATTTATATATTTCTGTATTATTATTTTTATGTATATTTATATCTATATTTATATGTATAGTTTCATTACTTAATGCCTTCAATACTAAATTCTGTTTATTTATTTTTTGTATTCTAAATTGTTTATTCTGCAACCTTTATGCAATTATGCAATTATGGATAAATATCCTAACCTTGATAGTGACTATGTATAAGCGAGGCAACCTTCAACTTGTAACTGAGCCTTTTAGCAGATGTACTGTGATGCATATTCCTGCTGAACTTGTTATTTTAAGATACCTCGCAAAATTATCAATAAGTCTTTTTCTTTTTGTCATTTATGTATACACTCTTGAATTAATGTGCCACCTGGCAGAAGATGACTATGTATCTAAAGATGACTATGTATCACTTCTTAGTGTTACTACTATATGTATTTTACCTGTATATTTATATGTATTTATTTTTATAATTTCTGTATTTCTGTATTATTATTTTTATGTATATTTATATGTATTTTACCTGTATAGTTTAATCACTTAATGCCTTCAATTCTAAATTATGTTTATTTATTTTTTGTACTCTAAATCGTTTATTCTTCTGCAAACCTTAATATTTAAGTTTACTTCTGTTTGCAACTATTTTGGATAAATGTCCTAACCTTGATAGTGACTATGTATAAGCGAGGCAACCTTCAACTAGTAACTGTGCCTTTTTAGCAGATGTACTGTGATGCATATTCCTGCTGAACTTGTTATTTTAAGTTACCTCGCAAAATTCTCAATAAGTCTTTTTCTTTTTGTCATTAATGTATACACTCTTGAATTAATGTGCCACCTGGCAAAAGATGACTATGTATCTATTCATTGTAACTCTGTAATTTTCTTATGATTATGCACTAAATGCCCGTCTGACCTGCCAGTCTCTCCTGAGGCTGTGGGTCGTTAGTAGTAGATTTTACCACGGACTGAGCATTATTCTGATTGGATTACATAGGTCAGAAGCTCATCCCGTGGCGCCCTTGCAGAAACTATTATGAAGTCATTACTGCCGCTACTCACTGCAAATCTGAGCGCTTTAAAATGGGGCTTTTATTATCTGGCAACCTCCTTCCCGCGAGATGCCACTAATTAGTTTCTCTCCTTCTTGCTAGGAGCGGTTTTAACATCCGTACCCTGAAGTGTTCTGCAGTTTCGTCGTATGTGGTCCTTCAGCACCGCAGTTCCCAGCACTTTACGGTTCAGTTTCTAGTCACTTCAATATTCTGTCTCAAGGCATTGACAGTAACTGTCTAGTTAAATCATCTAGGAGAGTAGCCAGTGACTTGATCCCCTGGCTCTTGGACTTGAGACAGATCTGACTGGGATGGCGGTCTCTACGAGTTGGCTGTGCTGGGCTGCCTCGAATTTCATGGCGTACACTAAAGCGCTTTTCAGATCTTTAACATCCGCCATTCGCAATCCCATCCATTCGCATCCGCCACGATAGAAAATTGTGTCTTATACACCTGCCAGGATGTCTTCCCATCCTATGTCGATAGCTTCAGAGAGGGACGAGCAGGCATGGGTAGAAATTTTAAACCATCCGAAGTGCTCCCTGCCGTCGCTACGAATTTCTTTAAAGTGTCAACTTCTTTGGCGACGACAGCAGAAATTCTGTCTTCGATTTGTTGTTCAATATGTCCTTGGACGGCAAAAACTCTATCTTCGATTTGTTGTTCAATATGTCCTTGGACGGCAGAAACTCTTTCTTCAATTTGTTGTTGAAAGGTCGAAACTCTTCCTTCGACTCGTTGCTCCACAGCCGACACTCTATCTTCTATTTCATCTTTGACAGAAGAAACCTTTTCTTCAATTTGCCCGACTTTATTTTTGACAGCTCCTATTCTGTCTTCCATAGCCTCAAATTTACTTTCTATTACGCAGGTTATTTCTCTTTTCATTTCGTCTTGACCTGCTTCAATCTTTTCTTGTACAGCTTTTATGTCTTCTTTAAAAGTTACTTGACCAGCTTCCAACTTTTCGTGAACGGCTTCCATTTCCTTTTTAACGGATCTCATCTCTCCTTTAACGGAATCTTGGCCCAATTTCATTTCTTCCTTAACGGATTTCTGGCCCAATTTCATTTCTTCCTTAACGGATACCTGGCTCAATTTCATTTCCTCTTTAATTTCTTCTTTAAATGAGGCAAAGGCTGATATTAACTGCCTTAATTTCTCTTCCATCGCTCCTGTTATTGGCATTCAAATCCCACTTCTGACACCAAAAATTGTTGCGTGCGTACGGGTTCGTTACGAAATGAATGCACAAGTCCGATGAAAAATGAACAAAAATTTATTATTATCACAACAAAAATGCTTAAATCTTCTCAAATTATCATGCAGTATTACAAATATCTCACAGTAGTAATCTTTTAACTACTCAAATGTCCAGTAGAACGTAATTCAAAACAGCTAAAGAAACCTAATCCGCGAATTCGCTACAATCAACAAGAGCAGTTTTCTAAACAACAACAAACTAAGCAACTACTACAAACTGAGGTGTTTTCCTCCTTTTATAAGATTTTAAAATCACGCGCTAGAATTTTCTAGTACTTTCTCGAAATCAAAAAGAGATATTTATTTATTTAATGCACGCGCTCTTGTATTTTTAATTTTCCGGCTTAGCTTTCTTCTTTCTTTATTCGTCACGCGCTGCACTGCGTGGGAAATAAAACCAATTAATTTGTAATTTAACTAACATTAGCTTTTTAAATACCAAATTCGTAACAATATATAATATGTAGCCATGTTACTGGCCAAATCATAAGGATTTGGACTTATTTTCATCCAATTAAATAAAAATTATAATTAAATAACTAATCTTTGTGTCTGTCATAAAGCGAACTCCGAAATGGCTGTATTCTTAAAAGCAAATTGAATAAAAGTAATCTTTCTACTGAAAACGTAGAACATCAAAATTATCATTTGTTATTAATTTTATTACGTCTTTTGGTAATTGTAAATTAAAAAATATCAAGATTATTATTATTATTATTCAAAATTTTGATTATAGTCATAAGAGTATTATTCAGTTAGTGGTACTGAGAAAATTCCTTATTGTTTTTCTGTTGCTTTAAAGTAGTTTCTTCATATGATTTCTTTAAAAGTTTGTACTGATTCAGTTGAGAAGACTGCAAATTTAAAATAAATAAATTTGTATTTATGGGTACCTTTAATGCAAGAAGGAGGTTCTGATGACCAGGTTCCATCAGAAAGGCAGAAAAGGGTATCTTCTCCCATAAGCTCAAAGTAAGGCTTACAACTATATTGAACTTTTGAATCCTGGATAAACTTGCCTCCAGATTTAACTTCTCCAGAAAGGATAGTTCTGTCAGCATACTGAATATTTCCTGGATCAGGACAGAATGCTAACGGTTCTAAAAGTATATGTATATAAATCAATAGAAATTATTCTAGACACAATTTAAATAAATATAGTTTAAGCCTGTACTTTAAAATTAAAAGATAAGATTGAGTCAAACCTTAAGAACAACAAGTAATATTAAAAAAAATGTTTTTAAAGTCAATTCTTGCTTAGGTCAACGAAGAAAAATTTTATTTTAGTCACTTTTTATTAACGTTATTAATAATTAACGTTATTAATATTTTTTCATGGTTTTAGCTACTTGCAGTTAATTTACATATGTTCTCTGAATTTAAATATTATAAATTAGTTAGCAGCAATAATAATCTTTTAATTTATACAATTAAATTTTCATAATTTAAAATTTAAAAATTCAAATTAGCATTTTTACAAACAGAGAAAATTTGTTAAATTAAAACATAACATATATTATCGATAAACAGGAATACATAAATAGGAATTGACTTTTAATATGTAAAAAAACTGTATTAACATCAAGTGTCATCCTTTACAAGTTTTAAAAATGTATTTGAACTTGAGTGGATGAATAAAATCTATTTTATTAATGATTGAAAATTTGAACAGGATATAGGGAGAGTGTGAGCTAACGGTAGGAATTTAAAAATGTATTTATTATACATATCTAAATGATTGTAAAAATAAAAGCTCTGAGTATGTAACAAGTATGATATGAAACTAAAAATTAAATGATAAAATATAACAGAAATTATAAACAAATAATAAGTACAGCAATTCCATGAAATTCATGATTTGCAATCCTAATATACAGCTATACAGTAAAAATTCTGTTTAAGAAATAATTCTGTGAAATTACAATTACTTTTATTCTTGACCTACGGTAATCTTAACCCTTCTGGCCTGCTGGTGGCGTTTGCCAATTTCAATATATCGAGGCCTATATTATGGATAGTAGAGACTGTTTTCGGTAGCATGATATAACTCATAGTGCTGATTGTCGAAGAGGTTTATGACAATTTCCAATGGCAATGGCAGAAAATTTAGCTTTTTTGGGTTTGCTGTAAACGCCATCAAGATGAGGTAGATCGCAATCAGGTAGCTTCAACCGTATTAATTCACCCATTCAACAAAACATCAGAAGTTTGAAGTGGTTGCTGTGCATAACATAAGATACGACTGCACTGGATACTGGCCAATACATAAAAATGGTCAATGTTGTAAATTGGGAACTTGTGAAAGGCATTCCAGAGTCCATTGTGAAAGATGCCACTTTATTTAACAAAAGTATAAAAAATTTTAAAAAAAAATCCGTATAGAAAAAAATCTTGTAATGTAATCTATGTTTTATGTTTTTATGAATTTTTACCTTGAGACCTGATTGTGGCAATGGACATGCTATCTTATTTCTGCAACTTAAGTGCCGAACGTGTTAATATAATGCGAGTTCTTCTAATGCCTATAAACAACATTTCTCAGACATTTTTCCCCGCATCTTAAAAATTCCAGGGCTGAAAGGCTTAATCTTTGGAGAATTAACGTTTTTTGTGCTACCATTATTGATTAAATATCATGTTCTTCTCACTTAAACCATAAAATTCACTTCATCTACTTTTAACTTCATCTACATTTACTTTTTTATTCACTTCATCTACTTATAACAGCAATATTGCAAAATAATTTTAAAATGAGCATATTTTTAGAATTTCCGATACACAATTTCGCGCGCACTAGAGATAAAAATATTTCTTGTTTCATGCAGCTGTTGCCATTCCTCACTTTGAAATCCTTGAGTTTCTTAATCAAAAATTCTTTAATGTCTGAGAAAATAGGAAATAGATAATAAAATAAATTCCAAATTCCAAATTCGGGCTTCCAGATGCCCATATTCGCTGGAGCATTACGTTTTTCAAAATTGGATGGCTCTAGGTTACGTTGTTTTATCACAATGCGAGAAACATACATACATTTATGTAGATTCTTCATTATTTAATTTCTTTAAATATAATACAAGTCTGTAATAGTTGGTGGCAACAGTTTGAAAAGTGAATCGACGCAAAATGCCAAAACGAAATTAACAGCCCTCTTAACACAGAGAGGAGCAGAGTTCGGGCACTTCGCAGAAAAGCACAATCCACGGTAGATCCATATCTACGGCAACTCAAAATGATAACATACAATAAAGCCAGAGCTTTATATAAAAGAAAAATTAAAGAGGCCAAGTTAATCTCATGCAGAACGTACTGTAGTAATGTCACTAAAGCCTTTGGACCTACTCAAAAGATAACATATAACAAGGTGTTTTCGTCCTACGACCCTTTCGCCTATGGTGAATAGCACTGCCTCATCCAACATCGAAGTAATCAGTGAAATCATAAATGCAGTTTTTCCTGATGATGATGAAGAGGATTTCTTAGAGGAGCAAGAGGAAGCGAGAAAAACCTACAGCATGAAATTTCGCCAAAGTTATTAGAAGAAGACGAAATCCCTCCTACGCAAATGGAAGTGGACAACATCATACGTACTCTGGCACCCAAAAAAGCTCCAGGTCCGGATGGAATTGATAATATCATCATTAGAGAGATACACCGGGAATTCCCAAAACTATTCCTTGCGGTCATTTCAGCTTGCTGGAAACATCAGTACTTTCCTTAAAATATGAAGTTAGCAGAAGTGGCGTTATTCCTAAAATCAGGCAAAACTCCGGCAGAACCTTCATCTTACAGGCCAGTCTGTCTACTGCCAGCGTTTTTCCTGCAAAGGAACAACGCCCTGCATCCCAACCAATATGGATTCCGAATGGGCAGCTCAACTGAACATGCCATAAAAGACTTGATGGCCACTATCAAACAGAACAAGGATAACAATTTGCACTCACTGGTAACAGCCATTGACATCAAGGGAGCCTTTGACTTCCTTTGGTGGCCAGACGTAATAAATTTGCTGCACAACATGGCCTGCCCAACAGCCATTATTACCATCCTTCGCTCGTACCTTCACGATCGAAGTGTACAAGTTACATCAGACAGCGGCATTTATGTCAAGAATGTCTTTAGAGGGTGCCCACAGGGGTCATGCCTTGGACCAACACTGTGGAATATAGTGGCAAACTCGGCATTTCGTCAGTTTGAGAGCGTAGAATACGCTCGAATCATAGCCTATGCGGACTATTTTATGCTAGTTGTGGCAGGAAGGAGTAACCTCGATATGAGATCTCAATACTGTCTTGATCTGTTCTCCCAATGGGCCAGAGCACATAAGCTTCAGATTTCGGCAAAGAAAACTAAAGCTTTACTCATAGGACGCAGCAGACAGCTAAGACGCAACCCAAGCATTAAACTCCACGGGATACCGGTAAAATGTTTCCCCCAATTGAAATATCTTGGGCTATTACTCGACCACATTCTTGGATGCCACATGTCAGGAATCTTAAGACTCGAATTAGCATCCTAAGCAACAACATGGGACGCATGACTTCACATAAATGGGGTATCTCATCTAAGCTACTAAAAATTTGGCATAGAACCATTACAGAAAGAGTAATAACTTACGGAGCAGCAATCTGGGGTGGCGAACTTACCTCTCATATGAAAAGATCCCTGCTCTCTATTCAGAGACAGCAGCTACTTCAAGTATGCAGGGCATACCACTACTAACTAGCCCTACAACAACTAGCAGGAATTCCTCCGCTAGATTTGATAGTAGAAAGGGAGGCAGCTATCGTAAGGGTTACCAGGCTGGGTCAAACTTCAACACTCTAGGGTCATAGTTATCACCACTTGGACTACGAGGATCAAAACAACTGCAAAAACTTTCATCCAGCAGCTTTTAATCTCTCCGACAGTATCAGTATAAACGACGAACCAATTCAGAGGTACAGTAATAACCTTTTCACAGATGGCTCCAAAACTGAGAACGGTACGGGCAGCGCCTTCTGTAGACTAGAAAATGGAGTTGTAACATTCGAGTGGAAAAGGAAATTAGACTTGAACAACTCGGTATACCAAGCAGAGCTTCTAGCTATCAGTGCTGCAATTAGATATGCGAACACATGTCAACTGGAGAAATTCTCCATACTCAGTGATTCGGCATTAAGTCTGGCGGCTATCGCAAGTCAAAACAGCCGGAGTCCTTTGGTATACAGAATTCAGAAACAGCTTCTGACAATGCCTATTTCGCAAAGACCCACTTTAAAATGGGTTCCCGCTCACACAGGGATTCAAGGCAATGAAGCCGCTGACCTACTGGCCAAGCAGGCAGCCAACTGCACGGATATATTAGAAAGACCAACTAAACTTCCTTGGTCTCATATTAAGAGAACAACTTTGACAAGTCTGCTACAAAATTGGACAGAGGACAGAGGGACATCCAAATTATGGACAGAGGCAGAGGTAGGACGAAGGACATTTCGCTTACTGCCAAAAGTTAACATGGAAATAAAGACCCACTGTGCTAGCCTAACACAGTTCTTGACAGGTCATGGACCATTCCCAGTATACCTGAACAGATTCAGACTTAGGGATACTCCTTTCTGCGAATGCGGAGAAGAAGGCGATACGAACCATTATTACTTCCATTGTGTACATACAAGAAACTGGCACTTGAAGAAACCAGCGGACTGTGCCTGGACAATGTGGACGAATAACACACTCAAAAACAGAATAGCCCTTGATAAAATAGAGAAAATCTCAAGGCACTGCCTAAGCAGAAACAACCGTGGATAATATTATAATGTTTCAAATGTTCAGAACTTAAAGCAGATAACCAGAATAACGCTTAGTGCCTTGCAGTTATCGATATGTAAAAACTGTTATTAGTATATACTATTCAACCTTGTTACTCTGGAGTCTTCCCCGCCGTGATGGTATATAATTCCGTTTGGTTCATGTCCGTGGTCGGAGCCATCATAGCGGTGCACTCACTCACTCACTCTTTGCTAATAAGCTTATAAATAAACAAAAAATGTAGTACAACTCAAATTTGGATTTTAAAAACTGAAATATACAGAACTTAACTGTAACTTGCAGTCAAGCGCGAAAATTTGCTGCGTCGAACACGGTCAGTCAGATAAAACACTCTGAAGAGAATAATGTTCTCGTTTCTGACGCTGATTAAAGTAATTTAAGAAACCTGTACTTGATAAACAAACTCTTCTGACTTACAATTGTTTTCAAATAGTTGAAATTAAATATTCAACAGCGAGCAAGGAGACATTTCGTTAGCTAAATTGGTAATTAAGGTCCATCTGATTTGCCTTTGTTTGCATATATCTTTAACCTCTTTTTAATACTTCATTTTTAAGTTACGTATTTCTAAAGCAAGAGTATAAACAATAAGTAAGGAAAAAATTGTAAAGAAAATTAATCGTACTTTGTTCTTTATTTACATATTTGTAAAGCAAGCGAGTGTAACCAATGAGTTAGAAAAAACTGTAAAAAATATTAATAAAAGCTTTACTGAAAACAAGAACGGTAACAAAACTTTACATGTATCGCATTAAATCTTAGCAGGCTATCAACTATATATCTTATAAATGTTTGATTTTTAAGAGAGAAAAAACACATTAAAAAGAACTTATTGAAAAAAAGTATAATTTAATTTTTAAGAAGAGATGAATCGTCTGTTTGGACGGGATTCACTACTAATGTAATTGAGATTACTTTCCAAAATAAAAGTAATTTAATGTTCGGACAAAATCCCAAGGAACATATGTTAAAGATTTTCTAATCGATAAAAGTTTTTTTTTTTTTTTTACTCCGTTTATAATAAAATAAATTCCAAATTAGGGCTTCCAGATGCCCATATTCGCTGGAGCATTATGTTATTCAAAATACGTTATTCAAAATTGGATGGCTGTAGGTACTGTCGTTTCATCACAATGCGAGAAACATATATACATTTATGTAGATTCTTCATTATTTAATTTCTTTAAATATAATACAGGTCTGTAATAGTTGGTGTCAACAGTTTGAAAAGTGAATTGACGCAAAATGCCAAAACAGAATTAATAGAATGATAATGATTTGATAAATCTAAACGTTGATTTGATAGTACGGCAGCTGTCTTAAGTATCATTTGTGAATATGTTTTAATGGGAGCTCTTCGCTGATATTTTTGAGTTTATTGCAGAAGCAGTTTTCTTCGCAGATAATTTTTAAGCATTTTAATCATCGCTGATAATTTTTGAGTGTTGGCATGGCAGTTATCTTCGCTGACAGCATCTATTACATTGGTATAATTTGTAAGCTAAATTAGTTAAAATCCCAGGAAATGACAAAAATTTTTGTCATTTCCTTGGGTTTAATGTAATGAGAAAAGAAAAATTATTCGTACCACATATTGGAAGTTCCATGCTCCACTGTCCATTTGCCAAGCAAGCAAGCTTTTTCTGTCCTATTAGTCTATGATAAGGGTTGCATGTTATGTCCGCTGTAACTCCTTCAACCAGAATATTGGCAGAGAATGTCAGTTTTCCATTGGCTGGCGAGCTCAGGAGAGGACACCTTTTAACTAAGAAGAAAATAAACAAGAAATCGGACGGGGAAAACTCTTCATTATAACTAAGGAAGTATCACGGCCGACGCTGCCTTTTGATAATATCTGCAGCTTTTAAATTCTGCTGTCCAATTCCGCCCTAAATTAAAAAGTGTCTCTCCTAAATTTTACTGCCCAGTACGGTTCTGACGCCGTCTCTGGAAAGTGTATTTACAAACATAATTAAAAAAAACATTAAATGAGTATTAAATTTAAAAATAAATATCATGCGAGGTGTGACGCCAAAAAAAAAAAAAAAAAAAAAAAAAAAAAAAAAAAAAGAGAGAGACTGTGTAGCATGAAAACAGAGTGGAGATGGCAACAACAATTTTGGTGACATCATGCCACACATCTGCTCTATCCATGCGGCCAGTTTCGGCTATATCGACTCCGCCAGTGAGGAGTACTGCGTCATTGGATGAACACGTGCAACTGCATTGTGCCGGAAAAATGTCTAATGTAAAAACCGAACAACGAATCTTGCGAAACTTAAGAAATCAGCCACGGAAGAAACATTTCAAATGTTAACCGAGGCTTATGGAGATGAAACTTTGTCTCATGCACGTGTGTTTGAATGGCATAAGCGGTTTTCATGGAGAAGGGACAATGTGGAAGATTATGAATGTGCTGGGCGCCCCCTTGGGCGTTCATCAGGATTAAATGGGCTCCCAGTGGTCAAACTGTTAATCAATACCACTACATTGAAGTACTAAAAAGATTTTGTGGAAACATTAGAAAAAAAAAAAAGGCCACAGTTGTGGAGTGATGGATGGCTGTTGCACCAGGATAATGCACCCACTCACACGGCACTATCTGTCAAGCAGTTTCTGACCAGCAAAAACATTACTGTGATGGGTCATCCTCCATATTCACCTGATTTAGCTCCGTGGGACTTTTTTTTATTTCCTAAAGTTAAATCTTACTTAATGGGAACCCATTTTACCTCAGCTGAAGCGTTTCAAGCAAAAACAGAGAATCTTCTGAAGGGCCTTCCAAAAAACCTCGTTCCAGAACTGTTACTAGCAATGGCAGCACTGAATGCAGAAGTGTGTGAATGCTGAAGGGAACTACTTTGAAGGTGATAATGTCATGGAGAACTTATTCTGTAAGTACAATGATTTATTGGACCAGTCTCGTTTTCTTTGTGTCACACTTTGTATATCAAATGCAATTGCAGAAACAGTTTGAAGGTACCAATACCTGGCATCGAAAAACATTAAATTTTCACTTCTGCAACTATCGAACCACACGTTGAGAAAGAAGTTAAATAAATCATAAAAAGAAAATACATTATATTATAACCCCTAAAACGAGCCGCCCAACCGGTTTAGTTGTTAGCGTCGCTGACTGTCGTGCCGAAAACCCCCAGGTTCGAATCCCGTGTCGGTGCGGCACGGTAGCACTCCAAAAATGCGGCGAGCCGAAAGTGTGATTTGGTGGAAGGGTGGGAGAGGTGTTGCCCATCAGGAATTGCGGGAGGAGCTGAGCTAAATCGCATTGTCACCTGAATGGTGCTCAAGGCTGTTGCCAACGGCAGGCGTAATCTTGCGCTCCTCGCCACGAGGGCTATCTACGTCAGACAAGTGAGCATAAGCAATAACAACAACATCTAAAACGTAGAAAAATACAACAAATTTATATCACAATTCAAGTGACCAGATTTTCTGTATTCAAGCTCAAAATAATTTCTTAATACAACAAATTTATATCACAATTCAAGTGAACAGATTTTCTGTACTCAAGCTCAAAATAATTTCTTATGGAAAAATACTACTTTAAGAGTTTTTTTATGATTTTAATTGAAATTGCGGCAGAACTCTGTAATTTACAGAGTTACAGCTATTAATAATGACGTTTCCTTATTATTTGCTTCTTATATCATTTTTTTAACTTGATATTACACAAAAAGAGAAAGCTTAGTTTGGCGTAGATTCTGACTGAAGCTTTATGGATTTCGAATGCTATCGGATACAGTGCCCTGTCCTTCAACCTTACCAAAGCTTAGCTTACATTTAAAAAAATGTTTTATAAAAAAGTTTAGAAAAGCTTGGGAAAGCCTCGCTTAAAATTTGAAAAACATGGTTATTTTGCTTGAAAATCTGAAGTTTGAAAATTTGTGCATGCATGGAAATGTATTATAATGCGGTGTATCATAATGCAGAATTCTTAAATTGTACTTTTTCAAGTTTTATTGCCATTTTCCTCGACAGATGGCGTTATGTTCGTACTGGCTTTGCTTTATCCATTGCTTTCGGTATAAAATAGAAGTAAATATTTGTTTAGAAGTCTTGAAGTAGACATCTCAAGATCATCTCTGATTTTCACCCTGTCTTTGCCTCTCCTGGTTCTGAGCTTCGTCTGTGTGTTTAATGGACTTGTGATGTCATGCTGTCACCCCCTCTTCGCACTACTGACGCCTCCTTTCAATTGTCATTGCTTTCTACCGTCATGCGCCCTTTGGGCCTAAGTATCATGAGCCGGAAACATCGCGTAAAAGCAGCAATATGCCGGCAATATCGATGATGATGATGATGATGATGAGTAGACATCTCCCAGTCATATTCTGAGCAAAACAAAAATAGAGATGTTAAAATTCGAATATGATCTATTAAATTTTTTATTTAAACAAATTGATGAATAAATTTTAAATCGAAAATATTCCTTTATATAATTCCTTCATGCCCTTCACGTTTTGAATAGAGATGCTCAAAATCGACCTTTTACGGTATTAAATCAAAGCTGTTTGCTCACAAGAACAAAACCAGTTCTTTTTTACGACTTACCACTCACTCGCACTAAGTTTCATCAATAAGCTTGGAAACGACGAGTTAATCAAGAGCGATGTACGAGAATGGACCGAAAAAAAAATCGAACAGGGAGTGGGATTAGATACTCAATTGAACCGCTTAACTTCCACGGGCTGAATTTCGTACATACATTGTTTCTGCATTATTTGTGTTTTATTGTTCAACTTGCATTATTAATTGTAACATCAGCCGTGCTGCAATAGTTTGCATCATTTCCTCTTCTTCAAAAGTTCAATCAGATCCTAGCTTATTCATCTCTCAAACCGCATCTCTCATTTCAGGCTTCAAGGCCCCCATTCTTTCTTCTCCTTGCCTCTGTTTCTCCTTAGCGAAATTACCATGCCAGGAAACACTTATCGTCTCTTTAAGCTTCATTCTCACTGAGCCAGCAAAATTACACTTATGTGTAATAGCTCCGGCGTATGTTTATAAGCTGAGTTGAGTGTAGAGACACCTGCATCTGATCGCCCTAGAAAGCCTACAACAAACTAAGGTTACCTAATACTGAATTTTGCAGCGGTGCGTTTCTCCTTCACTTGACATTTATGAAAATTTTATGAAATCAAATTATTCGCAGATTCCTCATAATCATCATGCATATACTTACAACAGACCGGAGGTTCGCTTGACCATTCATCATCGGGCAGACAGGTGCTCACAGCTGAACCGCTGAGTTCATAATCTTCCGGACAGCTATAAACAGCTGTAACTGGTCTGTCAGAAGGCGTAAGAGTAACTTGTAATGGATATAGAATGCCACTTGGTGGGGAACAACCTAAAAATATTTTAAACATTGAAATTCCCAGACGCATAGCGTTGAAATCTTAATTACTTAGTTAAACATTCATCATCAAGATTAACTCTTGAATCATAATTTGCGATACTTTCAGAATCATAAACAATGCCAGCAGAATTTTTGCAATAAAGTGCAATTACCTGTACTTTACATTTATTACATTGCATACTTTAACTAGTTGAGTATAACAACGACTTAAAGAATTACATAACTAACTAATTAATTATCTCCAACTAGAACTTATTTTTCTATTTTTCGCGGGTCCAAGAAAGCAAAACAGAAATAGATAAAACTAAACATTATTTACTGAAAATTAATACGCGTAGATGACAAACTAAAGCAATTTTAAACAGAACAACTGCTTCTACCGGTGCAATAACAAAATATAAAAGCTTCTTGGATTGCTTTTGATTGTTTATTTAAGTACGGGATAGCGCACAAGGGGTCTTCTCTGCCTAAGGAAAGGATGCCTTCAAAGAGGATTTTCTGAAAGGATATTTCTCGTATTAATATTACTCGAGGCAAAAAACCACGAAAGTAGCCCATTCTCTGAGATCCCAACCCGATTTGAATAACCATTGTTCAGCGGTTTTAATCCGCTCAGGTACTTGTGGGCCTTTATTTAGTTCAGATCCGTTATTATAGAAGTATGTGTTTATTTTTCTGTTAGCAAGATAATTTTTAGTGTGTTTTGCCGACAATAGATGGCATTCGATTTTCATAACTTCATTTATGATTGACATAATAAGTCTGGTCTGTGTATTAGTGTATTACATTCTATCTTATTGCTGCTATGATTTTGAGTGAAATGTGCAACTAAAAAATGTTGTGTCGTCATGTGGACGGCTTTTTCTCAATATAAAAGTGTTAAGATCGTCTTTATTGTAAATTTATTTTCGTAATTAGTATGGAATTGATTGCCCCAATGTTTTCCAACAACCTAGTTGGTGAACTGAAAGCTCATTTTGATAGCTGTATGGCCGTATGAGGTCCTTGTCATATCTAGATGATATGATATTGTTTCAGGTCCGATTTCTTAACTCGCCAAGTCTCAATAATTTATAAGGTATTTCTCCCGCTCTCCTAACGTGCCTTCGTGATTTAGTGGTCAGCACAGTGAGCCAGCATTTTAGAGGTCCGTGGTTCGATTCCCGGCGAAGGCCTTGCTAATTTTTCATCTTGCCTGCTTCCAAAAATACCTAATGTCTCTATAAATTTAATTTTCTATTTTTATATTTCCCCTTCTATATCTAATGTTTTAATGATCCATCAAACCACGTAATATGTGTGCACTAAATTAGTAGGAAAAAAAATGACTTTAGATTGCTTGGATTATGCAACACTGAATCTGCTAGATTTATGAGAAATAAAGAACATCATTATTTACTTCTTCCTTCGATGTCTTCTACGAAATATAATCTATTTGTCGCTTCGTTTTTAGAAACTTTGCTGATTCATCTAATATGGAGCAGCCAAATTATTTGGATTTACTCAACACTAGCTATCATTCAGCATTGTTGGATATACACTCATTTAACTGTCTTGCGGCTATAGCTATCAACCACGTCCTTGTTTTCAATGTGAGTTATTCTGCATAGTCTTCTAAAGAAATTTCAAATATACTTTGAAACTAGCAGAAACAGAAAAAAGAAATCAAACTTCAAGAAATTGGTTAGCAACTTTGTAGAGTTATTAGGATTTGAGAAGCAAGATAGAGTGAAAAATTAACAACCGACTTCGCCTGGAATCGAACCACAGACCTCTGGAATACCGGCCCAGCGTGCAGAACCACTACACCACGAAGGACGCTAGGGAAGTGGGAGAAATACCTTATATACTCCCCTTTTTTAAAGGGCGACTAGGATTTTAGGGGACCTAGTCGCCAAATCCTGGGTGCGGAGAATCATCATCCACAACCCTTTTAGTTCGGGCGCCACTTGTAGAGTCATTAGGATTTTTTTTAGAGGCAGAAAAGATGAAAATAGCAAAGCCTTCCGGGAATCGAACCATGGACCTCTGGAATACCGGCCCAGCGTGCAGAACCACTACACTACGAAGGACGCTAGGGAAGTGGGAGAAATACCTTAAAAAATTCTCTCTCAGAAGAGGATGAATGACTTAAAAGAACGGTTGTTCCCTATCCGGTTACGACAAATACTCCGGTGTTAATGAAAATTTCCAGTCTCCTGTTTAACGAAATGAGTCTTTACGGTTTATAAAATGAGTAAATTTTTTCGTACATAAATTAGGTTGTGATTAGATAAGATATCACACTATATTTTGTGATAAGAGAAGCAAGGGTAATGTAATCAGCTAGAATCGGAATTCAGTTTCGTTTACTTCCTGTAGCAGTTGGAGGTGAAGTGCTAGGAGTGTTCAGTATTGTTCGGCTGGGCTGGCTTTAGTAATTTCGGTGGTCTCCCTCAAGTTGGGATGTGTGGGCTTCCAACGAAGTCTTCTTTAAAATTATATTTTCTATAGTATGTTTCTACCACCATTTCGAAAACAAAAATTGATGAACGTTTGTATAATATATTTTGAATAATAACATTTCCCATAGCTTCCGTCACTCAATAGTAACCTCAAAGCCTTCCCTGCTTTTCTGCACTTTTTGAAAGAGAAACAATTAAGCATTAACGTATTTTAGACCAAAATAAGAATAGAAGTTGCCACTGGTCGTCTATCCAACATAGTTCTTCAACCGGACAAGTTCTCACTGCCCAGTGGTTAACGGTTTTGGTTTTCGGAATTTAAAGCAAAGAAGTGATATTTTAATAAGAAATCACGCCTAATTTCATTAATTTTTATTTATGTTTATTATATAGTAGTCTTCGGCCGTAACCATTCATCTTTCATTTTTTATCGCAATGTAATTTGTGATGAGTTGTAGTGCAGATTTACAAACCATTGTAAGTTATTTTAAAGAAATTTTAAATATACTTTGAAATTATATCTAGTACCAAAAATCTTGTTATGCCTCTCTTAATTTTCATAACTGCCGATATGGCGTGGCCCCTAAACCCGCCCTGCAGCTTGGCAAATGTGTGTATAGATTTATGTGTATTAGCCCTCTATATATACATAAAAATGTACATAAAAGCACGTGTATATATTCATGTGTATTAGCGTAAGTTGACTATGAGCATACGAATAGCATATACACATGAAGATACGGACGGTTAAAATTATCCATAAAGTTTCTAGCGTCAACTTAATTCATACTTTAACCGCTATACACCATGTCCACAAAAGTTTTTATACGGCCTTTAGGTTCGCAAACGTTCCCCGTAGATGTACACTTCTTATTACAAAAATGTTTTAAATGACGCGAAGATTCCTATTTTGGCAGTTTTAAATTTAAAAACAAAAAATATTTTTGCCAAATGTTTTTTATTTTTCCTCTCCTTTCTACATGGCGTCGTGGGGAAACGGTAGCACACTCGGCGCGTATTCGGGAGTTCCAGGTTCGAGTCCTGGCGAGACATTGCTCATTTTACACATCTCCTGCTTCAAAATAACCTAATGACTCTACAAAATATATCGGCTAATTTTGGTCGCACTGCAGTGAAACCCTTTGTTTCACGGTTTTATCACATGTAACAGGAATACGAGATTTCCTCTAGAATGTCCTCTACCGTGGCCTTCGAGATAACATGGCCTGGGTAGCTACGAGTGACGTCACGAAAGGCGTCCGATCCTTCCGTGACTTTCTTTGCTTCAGATTTGAATGCGAGGGTTTCGTTCGATGTTTAGAGTGTTATTTTTTTTTTTTTTTTAAAAATAATGCATAATAATTAAATTTCTAGAGACTTGAAAAAGTACATAAAAGGTCGTATATTCATTTGCAGTTAAGATTAATAACCTAATAAATATTATTTTTTAAGAAATATTCACGAAATTTTCTACGCCATGTTTTAGGTTATCTTGTGCATTTTTTACACTGTATTGTAATAATTTTGTTAGGATACACACAAAAAAGAAAGTTTTGAAATAAGTAAATAAAAGGGTGTATTTATTAACATAAAAAATGTCTTTACAGTTTGAGAAGGAGAGGAATGAAAAGATTTAGAAATATAAATAATTCACTAACAAAAGTAAATATAATTTAGCAAATTAAAAGACATAAAAAATAATTTTTCCTTAAAACTATAAATATTTCAGAGCTTCCAAACATTATGCAAATGTATTTTTTAATTCATTTTAAATTACTATCTAGTAAAATAAACAGCAGCTCAGAAAAGCCACAGAAAAAAATTTAAAATCTCAAAACTTTGTAAATTAAATAAATTACAATTTTGCTGCAACATTACAGAAAACGAAAATTTTCAAAATTTATATGTTATTTACAATAATTTAAGAATATTTACATCATTTAATAATATTTACAGTATTGGTTATATGTAGATGCATAATAAATAATATATTTACAAACAAAAGCCATCCATTATGTTTCAGAGCGTAAAAAATCAATAAATTTGCCAAAAAACCTCAAAAAACTATACATAGAACAAACCATCAATTCTGTCTAATTAAGCAAATACTGTGCTAGTTGTACTGGTATATTGAAGCAATAATTAATTGAAATTGATAATTTATTTTGAAAAACCATGGAGTATTTCAAATAAATATGCAGCAAATCAAATAAAAAGGAAAGAGCAAAAGGATTAATACATTTAAAATGTAAAAGATACATTATTGAAAATATATCTGAACTGCATCATATACTAGTACTATGTTTCAAATTAAAAAAATAAAATACTAAGTCATTTACATACCACTCATTTCCTTTCATCAAATATTCTTGACTTTTTAAAGTTTTTTTTTTCCCATCAGTTTTTGAATGCATATTGTTTTGAAGAGCTTTATAATTGTTTAAACAAATATTTGAAATGGTGCTCATTATTTTTTGAAATCTACTAGAAAAGGGAATTCCACACATTAAACAAGTTTCATGAATATCAAACATGTGAATGTTTTGTACATATATATCTCTGTAAGTTTGACCTGTAAAGAATGCTGTTCAAATTGTTTCTGTTCTTGAATTTAGAAATAAAATTTCCTAGTAATCAGGAGATGGATCTCCTAGTTCTCCTGATAAACATATTAAGAAGCGATACAAGATACTTTTCTCAATTTTAGGATATGGATGAAACTGACAATAAATATAAATACCAGCAACAGATTTGTGTAAAATAATATTTGAAGATGGAAGTTTTAAACCACCCCAGTTTATAAGTTGGTAAATAGTTTCAAATCATCCTCAGTTTAAATAGTTTGTCCTTTCGTCAAATATCATGTAAAATTGCAATCTCCATGAATTGGCTCTTTTTTCCTCCTATCGCAAATCAAACTCTTATCAGTAAAAAGATAATCGGACTTACATGACAGATAAGTCAATTTTGGACTACCATTTAAAAAATAGCCATGGGTACAGCATATCGTTAGGACTTTAATTTAGAGATTGCCCTTCTACTGAAATCTTAATGTACAATATGCCTTCATCTTATTGATAAATAATCATACCGAATGCTATCATCTACTCAAAAATATTTTCACATAGACGCTGCGATCACGTGGAATAAAATTTTTCCTTGGAATTTTTTTTTATCCATAAATCCCGTTTTACTGTATCTTTTGGAAATTTGAATACTGATACATATTCATTAGTGCCATCGTAATTGGATTTGCATGCTGGAACGCACATCGTGCAGACATTATGAAGACAGCTCTACGCAGAGTCGATCGTTATTCTTGTTAACAAATAAGTTAACTAGTAATCTCAATTTAAAAACGAAAATATCCTTAACAACATTACTTAAATTTAGCAATAAAAAAGACACGAATAATAAAAATATACAGCACGCAATCAACGTAATAAGAAGTCTTCGCTAGCAGTGTCCACACAGTGCACTGCGAAGGGTGAAAGTTCAGACGCCTTACGTGACGTCAAATCACGTGATTCTGCAGCTGACCAGGCCATCTAATCTCGAAGGCCACGCCTCTACGCAGGTAACCTCTTCTTAGATAGAAAGCCTTCGCGTACTTTACTATAATCCAGGGGTTCTCAACCGGTGGTATGCGTACCACAGTTGATACGTAAGGGAAAAATAAGTGGTACACAAAAGAAGCAAAGTATTTTTAACTATTAAATTCCAAAATTAAAACTCCAACATCCTGATTGAGTTTTTCCTCTAACAGTCGTAAATTTATGCGATCTGAGCTTTGTTCAAGATTTGGTGGTGGTAGTAGCACTTTGTAGTGATGGTATTAAAGGTTTTCAATTTTTGTTTAGATGGTACGCGTTAGTCAAAAGGTTGAGAACCGCGCTGCTATAATGCATGCAATCCAATCTAATTAACGTTTACTGGCAGATCATGAGAATGATTCATGAAGTATTTATATATGAAAAAGACATTTTCTGAAAGGAAAACACCACGAAAAATCTATGGCCGTTTTATTATTATTTTTGTACGGTTACTATTATTTCGCTTAATCAGTTACTTCGTGATTTAGATCTTTAATGTCACTTCTCCTTTCTCCTCTACCAGAAAGTAAAATTTAGTTTCACAATATTTAAGTCGAGGGTTTTCAATTGTAAGACAAAGCGTGTTTTTGCCTGTCGAGGTCACGTTAAGTTTCACTATCTCTGAAAAGATTGTAGTTGTTCAGCACTGTCGTTTAACTGTTACGCCAGTAAAATTCTGAGCCAACTCAGGTATTAGTTAATCGTGTAGTATTTTGATTACTAGGCTTAGTTTAAATTTCGATTTTGACTGTTACTTTAAATTGCATCGCTATGAGATGCTGCATGTTATGTTAAAATTCTGATTTAATAAAAAGCTTTGTTTTAACCTTCTCAAGACTTGTGTAGTTAATTTCAGACGCAGCAATAATTTGCTCTACGTCTGATCAGAGTTTGGATATAGGATGAACTCTATGAGGTATTTCTCCCGTCGTCTTAGCACACCTTCGTGGTGTAATTATCAGCAAACACGGCGCGTATTCGAGAGGTCCGTGGTTCGAGTTCTGGCGAGGGCATTGCTTATCTTTCATGTCTGTCAGCATCAAAAATCCCAACGTCTCTACAATGGCGCCCGATCTAAAAAAAGTAATGGTAGACGATTCTTCACCACCAGGATTTGGCGACTGAGTCCTCTAATCCCCAGTCGCCCTTTAAAAGGGGAATATATAAGGTATTTCTCCCGTCTTCTTAGCATGGCTTCGTGGTGCAATAGTCAGCACTCTCGGCGCGTATTCAAGAGGTCCGAAGTTCGTGTCCCGGCGAGGGCATTGTTTATTGTTCACGTCTCTTAGCATCAAAAATCCTTATTTCTCTACAGCTCACAGAGATAACTGAAACCTGTATTTTAATTAAATCAATTAAATGCTATTTTAAATATCAATCTATATTAATACAAGTAACTTAAACACTATTTTACTTGTAACGAAGGGCGTATTTTTTATGGTACGCAGAGTCTTTTCGGAAATTATCGATGGATTTCGGAAATTATCGATGGATACATAATCGAATGTTCCTGTGTGTGTTATGTGTTACACTATATTATTTAACAGAACACCTGACAAATGAAAAGCATAAGAAATTACCTTTTCTTTTTTCACAGTTTTGTCCTTCATAATAATAGGGGCATTGGCATTTACCGTTATGGTTGCAGACACCACCGTTGACACAAGTGCAAACTGGAAAAAAAAAAAAAAAGAAAAAAAAGTTAAATCATTAAATAATCACTTGCTGCAGTTTTTTAATTTAATAAAGCAAATATATATTTTTACGATAAAACTATTAAAAGTTTAATTCGCTATGATAATTCATGTCTACGCAAGAAAATTGAGTTTTTTTTCCAGACTTCAGATGCTTTGACTCTACGTTGATTTAATTCACATATCTTTATTAATTAATTTTGAATATCTTTTTAAAAAAAATTAATGAGATTTACGTAATTTCACGTTATCTTTTATATATATAAGCGGCTAAAGTGTGTGTCGCCGATAGTTTATTGTTGCCACTCGGAAAAATGAGCACGGAAATTAACGTTTTCGCAGTTTTTAATTAATATCTCAACCGATTAAAGTCGTACAAAGATGAGAACGGTATCGATGGATTCCGAGAATTTTTTGGAATCCGAGGATACGCGTCTCGAATTTCATCTCGGCACAGTTCCGTAGATATTCGGGGGAAAAAAATTAGCACGTAGCCAAATCCCTCTAATAGGGAAACCCAAGAAAGAAAGTGGAAAATGTAGAGAAAACGTAGGGGAAATTTTTTTAATTAATATTCGGCTAATTAAAGTCCCAAGAAGACGCGAATGTGAAATGGTGTGACACGGACCTGCGGAATCCAACGGTGTGCTTCGCTAAGCCCGGGAGCCAGCCGTTTCGGAGGAGATTATGTTACTTCACCCCTATATATATATATATATATATAATTATATATATGCGGCTTAAGTGTCTGTTTCCGTAGATATTCGGGGAAAAAAATTAGCACGTAGCCAAATCCCTCTAATAGGGAAACCCAAGAAAGAAAGTGGAAAATGTAGAGAAAACGTAGGGGAAAATTAGTTTTTAATTAATATCTCGGCTAATTAAAGTCCCAAGAAGACGCGAATGGTGAAAATGGTGTGACACGGACCTGCGGAATCCAACGGTGTGCTTCGCTAAGCCCGGGAGCCAGCCGTTTCGGAGGAGATTATGTTACTTCACCCTATATATATATATATATATATATATATATGCGGCTTAAGTGTCTGTTTGTCGCCGATAGTTTATTGGTTGCTTGCGTAACTGTACTAGCCAATGGGATGAAGTTGTCACGGCACAGGGTTGCCGTTTCAATTGAGACGTAGACAATTTCCTGTAAAACTTGCCTTTGCTATGACCATCCATAAGTCTCAGGGCCAAACGCTTAAGCGAGTTGGCATTTTTTTACCTGAGCCTGCATTTGGACACGGTCAACTTTATGTTGCCTGTTCAAGAGCTCGTGAAAGAACGGACATAAAATTAAAAATATTGGATGGTCCTCTACAAGGCGAGCTTAAAAATGTTGGAAAGATCTACACAAGAAATGTTGTGTACAAAGAGATCTTTGACATGTGAATTAACATTTCATTATTTAAATCATTTTTATTGATTGAGCTAGCTGTGGACTCTTAAGAAATGTACCGCTAGTGGTTTCCTTCACTGTACTCTACTTTAAGCAATTAAGCAAGTAGAAGGGGGGAAACCCCTGTGAAGCAAAGGAGTAAGCAAAGGGGCGTCCTCGCCGCCTGCTCTGGGTAATTCAGTTTGAATTAGCAGACACTTTTGCACAAATCATTTTAATTACAATTTATAATATCTACAACAGCGGTCATTTCGTATGACCGCCCGGCTTTCTAGTATTAAATAAAACTGTAATTCTTTTACTCGTGTATGCAAATACTTCTTAATGAACTGGTCATTGAATCTTTACCACAATTTGAAATGTTCAGCAGTCTAACGCTTTCTTGCAGTATGCATTAAAGAGGGCACACATTAATATAAAATAGGCTTTGTGTCGTGCGATTAACTATTTGCTATTAACGCTTGATAGAAAATGACTGTAACACTTTTAAAACAGTAGTTTAATGTATATTAGCGTCATTGCTCTCAGCTGACGCCGTGGGTAATTCAAAGTTTGGATTAAAAGTATTCGTTCGCAGTTTCGTAATATTAAAAGATGAACACTGCGCAAAAAAAGGGGGCGACAGTTCTATATCTCCCGTTCTAGTGGGACGATTGAAGAAATTAGCCATTTAGCTAACAAGACATTTAACCGATAACACTTTAAGCCGACAGTACGTTTAGTTGACAAGGAATACATTTAAACATTTTCAATCTAATTTGTCTATTTATCCTATAGCTATAGCTATTGTGACTTGCCTCTTGATCGTATTATCGGGAAAGAGGTAAATGACAATTTGTTTGATTACCTGAAAGAGACGGGTTTTTATTGTTTAATTTGACTTCTTTCTAAAGTTTGTTACTTGTAATTTGAATGCTGTAGTTTTAATGTCATAATTTGTATCTTTTAATCATGTTTCATAATCAAAAGTATGGGTTTTATGCATTAAGTTACTTCAGAATTCAGTATTTTCTTTCATCATTCGTTTTTAAAAGTGCCATCGAGTTTTAAACTTGCTGTTGTTTGTATATTGTGTTTGTGGGTTTGTTAATTTCTGATGGTTTTTGACATGTTTTTCGGCGCATATAACCTTAAAGGTTTTGCACCAGGAAATCCATTATCATTAGCTTCTGTCAGGTATAAGATTGTTCAGTTCTCATTCCTCACTTATCGGTAACATTTATTGTTCGACTCTTAAAGATTCCATCTTTCGTTCTAATTCTTGTGGAATTTCAGTTCATCATGTCAATATGATTTGACATATATCGGCCATACCGAAAGAACATTGAAATTTTTCTTCAGGAAACGTGAATAGTATGTTCGAAAAGGAGAAATAAACAAATTTTTAGACTCATCATAACTGGACACTTAATCATAATTTTTACTTTGTATATGCAAATATTAGCTTTGAAACTTCTCCAACTACTAAATTGGATTTCTTCGAATTCTTTCAAATTATCCAAATTAATTTTTTGTGTTTTAGCTTATAAGGTATTTCTCACGCCTTCTTAGCATGCCTTCGTGGTGTAGTGCTCAGCACGTTCGATGCGTGTTTGAGTCCCGGCGAGGGCATTGCACATTTTTTCATCTCTCTTGCTTCTAAATAACCTGATGTCGCTACAAGTTAACAGCATAAATTTTCCATCCAACCCTTTCAAAATTCTATTACTTTAACTTTTTATGTTTCGTTTTGTTTTTCTTGACAGATGATGCTACATTCGTTTTCCTTTGATCTATCAATTGATTTCCAAAGCGATTGATAGAGCAAAACAAAAATTTGGAAATTTTCCCACTCGAAATGGATTTTAAAATTTACGCGAACCTAGTTTTGCTTTTCTGCATAATTTTAAAATCGATATCATTTGTAACATTAAATAAGGACCAAAACATGGCACTTGTTCATAAACCTTTTCGTTGTGTATCCTAGAATCGGTCTTTTCTCGGATAAATATGAACAAATTTTATTTGAACATTGTCGCCTGTTTTGGTTTAAATGCACCGCGTTGTCATCTAAAGGTGCTGTTAGCTATATGTGCGTGTTGGCTAACTGTACCGACTAAATATCCTGCCAAAAGTGTCCCGTTGGCATATTTCACAAGTGCACATCTGTGTAGCCACCTAGGGAGTGGCTTCTAGGATGGACCAATGAGCATCCAGTAATATTTCTGTCATGTCACATGACCTTTCCCACACAAGATTTAGCAAGATGGTTGAAAATATTCTGCCACGAATTTTCTGTACATAATGAAGCATCCGATTGCTCTAAATTTTCATTGCAGTAATCAGATATGGGAAATTATGAAATTTCACTACCTGGTTAAATAATACAAACCATGTTCATACTTCGCAAATATCTGGTGAAATACACTAATAGTGCAATAGAGGAAGAAAAATATGTGATAACATCTGAGCCCAAATGCAATCTTTACATAGACTATCGTATAGAAAAATATTTACACCAATTATTATTAAATAAAAGTCCACTTTTATTGCGTCTATCGAAAGATCAAAAATGTTCTATACTATAACCATGCAGAATTTATCAAAGTGACTTTACTATTTACATTCGTATACATTTAGTGCGTTAAATTCAGCATTTATAAATGCCACTGAAATGTACTGTCTACACAAGAAATACTCATCAACAGAGTGAATTATCGTATTCACACTGAGTATAGCATTTTATTTTATAATTTTTAATGTTAACAATGGAGTAATCATATCACATATGTTTCTAATCTTCACTCAAAAATCAAAGAATCAAGCATTGAATAAGAAAAAACTAGATTCTTGTCACCCTTCAATATTACTGAGTGATAAAAATCGCGAAAGTGAAATGCACAATTAATCAACTCGAAAACGAAAGCACTGCGAGATTTTCTACTATTACGCCTTATTATAACTGCGAAACAAATCAAATAAACGCAAAAACGCTCCCCCAGCACGAAGATTTACGTCACAATATCAATAGCAGCTCATTGTCCATTTTTGAAACCCCTCCTCAGTGGCTACGCTATTGCACAAAGAAAAAGAATTTTTCACCGTCCCTTTTGGCAAAGCCGTTTCTGCGAGTGATCCGACCGGGTATTGGTTTAGTGCCGCCTATTTCTACAATCCTTCCACCAGCCCCATTGACCTGGCGCCACTGATTCTAATAGTAGCCCTGTTCATTCGTTGCCCCCTTCTTTCCCCTCTCCTTTTCCGCTCCCACCGCCTCTCTTCCCCCTACCACTCCCTCCCTCCCCACCCCCAACACCTGTCCAGCCTTCATATTTTAACTTCGTGTCACGCGGTGGTTTTTTTATTTTGGGTGTACCTTTTTTTTCATATCCCGTTCTTCGCATTTAAACCATAAAATTCAGTTCATCAACGATATCGCAAAACAATTTTAATATGAGCGTATCTTTAGAATCTCCGATACACAGTCTCGCACGCTGGAGATAAAAATGCCCCCCCCCGTACAGTGTTGCTATTGCTCGCTTTAAAATCGTTGAGTATATTAGTCAAAAGTTCTTTAATGTCTGACAAAATACGAAATCGATAATAAAACAAATTCAAATTAGGGCTTCCAGATGCTCATATTCGGTGGAGGATAACGTTTTTCAAAATTGGATGGCTCTAGGTGCCCTTGTTTTATCACAATGCGAGAAGCATACATACGTTTATGCAGATTCATTATTATTTAATTTCTTTAAATATAATATAGGGCTGTAATAGTTGGTGGCAACAATTTGAAAAGCGAACCGACATTTCAACGCAAAATGAAAAAGCGAAATTAATAGTCTTTCTGGACAAATTGCCTCTTTGGAATAATAAGGAATCAACTTATTAGTCCAAGATGCACTGCACAGTTTTCAAAATTCTCATCTAGTATTTATGGTCGCACTTACCATTTTCACACCATCTTCCGAATTGATCATCTGGACAAGCCGCACAACTCTCCTGCCCATCTGAGTGGCACTGCCTGCAGTTTTGATATCTCGGGCAAACATCTTCAAGCTTCAGATCATCACAAGGCTTGCAGATTTTTTTCCAGGGTGCTAATATGGATTTTCCAGCTTCAGAGCATCTGTAAAGTAGTGTATGTAAAGGTAATTAACACCGAAAAGGACATCGACAAGAGCAGAAACTTAGTGGAAATATTGTAGATGGATTTTCGTGGTTTTATTTATCATTTCCTGAAATTCTAGAAATAAGAAGAGCCTCTATCATAATCGCGTGTCTTCGTGGTGTAATTGGAAAGCATATCCAACTAGCATCGGATGGTCCAGAGTTCGAATTCAGGCAAATACATCGAAGAATTTACATGTTTCCTACTCCAGTAAGTATTTAATAGGTATCTACAGGAAGCACACAAACTAAAACGTCTAGGACGATAATTCGTCATCACTAGAACAATGCGCTTAGGTCCCTTCCTTCATAGCCGCCCATTCGGTGGGGGAGAGTGTAAGGTGTTTTCGCGTCTCCTACTGCGTGCCTTTGTGGAGTAATTAGAAAGCATGTCCGGCTAGCAGTTGGAATGTCCGGGGTTCGAATTACAGAGGAGGGATTAGCACGTGTTTCCCTGCTTCAGAAAACCTAATGACACTACAGCATTTCTAATTCTTCGCACTCTTGATGTAAGACTATAAAATTTCGAAATTTTTTTTTAATTTATAGTGGATAAAGTACCTCTTGTTAATATTTAAAGTATGTTATAGAGGAAAATATAAACTAAAACTCTGATATAGTGTCGTAAATCAGAGTTTAAAATATTTCTTAACGTGTTTTAATACAGATATTTGGAGTTTTTATGTATTTTTGCCTTGTTGCGAAGTGAGAACTGAATTAATTGAATGCGAAATATGTAATCGTCTGTGAAAAACTGTTTCCGTTTTCTTTTGTTGCTTAATTTCTTTATACATGTCTAGCTTTATTGTATAATTTTAAAAACAGTGGCAACGTTATAAATTTTTCCCTCCTCTCCCTTTTGTGCATTCTGAGTTCTCCTCTCACGCCCTCTAAATACTGTTAAGTGAACCTAGCGCCAGAGTGTCGCTATTTCTTAACGTTTTTCATTTTTACTCTTATTTGATATATGCAAAATCTTTCATTCCAGTTAGAGAATTTATCGTTATTTAACTGTACTTAATTCTTCTATTCCCTGTTCTTAATTCAGAATTTTTTCAGTTTTAGATCGAAAAATTTATTTCAGCAGAAAAATAAATTATTCAAATGCGATAAAAGTGTACGTTTATTTGCCTATTAATGTCAAAAAAGGAAATATATCAACGAATTCTAGAAACACTCGTTTAAAGCTCCTAAGATATTGTCGAACATTCCTCTCTATTTCATTTCACAAAGAAGAAAATAATTATCGATCGGTATAGTGGTTAATGCTTCTAGCTGCTGTGTCGTTCCTTGTGTATCGTATGCTGCATACTCCGTACAGCGCCACGCGCATTAATAAAATCCGTCGAATTTGGGTGCTTTCCATCAAAATTGGGACATACCTGGTCAAAGTCGTATTCTCACCTATATAGTGATTAAGCTCCAAGCCAACAGGACCATCAGCTAATGAAACGTTTACCAGCCTTGAAACTGGAGAGTCAGCCAGAGTGTGAGCATATGCAACTTCTCATTGTCATGCGGATGCGCGACTTGGCTGCCCGAAAACGGCAGTCAAACGGCTGACTTTAACCGAGATGTTCAGCAAACAGTGACTTTCAGCACTTGTAAGTCCTGTACAGTATGCTATATAAAAGCGTTATCACATGAGCTGTTTGTTGCCGGAACAAAACGATTGCAGCAACAGTTCTGAGAAACGGCCTTTGGCGAAATAGGGTTACCATATTCACTTGGCAAACATCTGAAAACCAAACAAATCATTTTATCGCTTGGCGAAAGTGACGTTTCCTTCAGTGACATTCGCTTTCTTCGTGTTGTTTTGTATGCTCACGCTTTTCGTTTTAAACTTTATTGTTATAATGGAAGATAGAAAGGTGATGCTTCCTTAATCACTTTGATCTCCACTCTGGCATCTGTAGAGATACACACTTCTGGTTACAGAATCAATTACATCGTATAGCCAACTCTGTATCACTAGAATAGGTTAAACATGTGCTGGATAGTCTATTTATCACACATCGTTTATGTATTTCTGTTGCTGCATTTCAATGCAATTTGATGATCACTGAAAATTTGTGACCTGTGAAAGCATTTTCTGATAACTTTCTGGCTCTTTACTGTTCTGTCCATTCAAATGACAAAATATATATGGCTGATAATTACCCTCACAGCCAGCAGATACTATTCAGCAAATGAGATCAAATAAAGATATGAATACGGGCAATCAAACATGTGCGAGTGTTTACTGTCCCATAGATACTCGGTATATACCTAACAAATTACTTATCCAACTATAATTAGGTGTTCACATCATGAGTCTTTTTTATTTTTTTTATTGAGATTCAGCAAAGCACACTAGGCTATCTGCCTAAGGAGGATCTTCGTGGAGGACTTTCTAAGGAAACTGGCTCGTATACACGTTACACATGGGAAACCAGAACAACGCCCATGCAGCCAGCCGTTCGCGGATTCGAACCTCGGACGAACTACAGTGTTCAGCGACTTTACCGCTCGGCCGCTGGTGGGCTCAGTTAGTTTTTTTGATGACGCAAGCTCAGGGATAACACAGGAGATCCTTTTGTAGAGATTTTTTTTAACTGGATAGTAAAAGTTACAATGGGGGCAACCAAGAAACGCATGTAGCCAGCCGTTCGCGCAGTTTACCGAACAGAACTACCAGTGTGCAACTACGCTTCGGCACTAGTAGCCCATGAACTTAATTGAAAGTGCAATTCTATGTAAAAGACATAAGGGATAATCAGTTGCGCTCGTTTTAAGTAATCAAATGTTCTAATGCCAGCTGTTACTTTCTTTTATTTTCTTATGGTTTTAATTACTATATCTACGTATGATATAATTATGAATTAACCCTAAAAAATGTGTACATCTTTAGACTCAATACTCATCAATTATTTTTCAACTGATTATTACATACCCATAATAATTTGCAAAGAATCGTTATCTGAATTAAAAGTAATTTCAAATAAACTCCTTGGCAATGTTCATTTTTGTATTTATACATACATATATCTACACATCTAATAATTCATATATATACATACAGATAAGAGATCATGTGTTTAGAAGTGTTAGTATATACTTATAGTATAATGTAATGAAACTTATCCTTAATGAATGACTATACAAATGTTTTTCATCAGCATATAAAAATTCATAAATTTCCAGGTTTCATATGTAGCAGTTAAAAAAAGTATAGTTTCTAATGTATATATCCAATTATTCATTAATAACATGAAAATAATAACAATTTAATAATATTTCATTATACATAAGCTATGCTTTTTTTTATGCATCTTTTATGCTGTTTGAAATTGTCACTGATCATGCAGTTAACCTTTAAAGATAAGTAATTAGAAGAAAATCCGCGCATATACAACGGATTTTAAAATTTTCAACTTAAATTTCGAAAAAAATCTATTATACAAGTGATAATACACGATCAGCACGAATAGACAATTTGGATACGACAATTTGTAACAATCCGAACTGCAATCAAGCCGTAACAAACTGTCAACTCTGAAATTTCACGCTTATATATTTAATGAATATATACATTAAAAAAGATCAGGCAGTTTATTACAACAAACGCAATAATTAAATCGGCCTCTATTTCACCGTCCATCATCACATGAGAGCATCGCCATATTAAAGTCCCGTGATCATTCAAATGACCTTTCGTCTGATTGGTTGAACGTTCGAGGAACACATCTCCAGCCGACACATTTTGGGAAAAGTTTTAAAATGTTGCTCGTAGCCGGGACACGTTCCTCCTAGCTAAACGAAACATATTTTCTTAGAAATAGTTTTTTCTCCCATTTTCAACATACAGAGATAAATTAAAGCGTATATAGACCCTTTCTTCAGAAAACATCCAATTATCCGAATTTTTGATTATCTGAAGTGTCCGGTCCCAACTGATTCGGATAATTGGATTTCTACTGTGCGATATTTTCAAGGTTCACTGATCGTCCGCAGTAAAATGCCTGTTTTACAGTCACATAAAATTACTAGAAGTGCTTTCTGCTGTTATTTGAAGTTGGTAAATATAACATTCGCCGTCTTATATTGCAAAAATATGTAAAGCAGATTATATTGAAAACTAGCTGATAGCCCCCCCCCACGCTTTGCTGGGCAGACTATCTATTTGAATGTGAACCTAGACTTCTTATATGGACGAAATGTCTAATTTCGAATTGATAATTAATGTATTTTTTTTTAAATTTAAAGTCGATAAATATAGTCCATCAGTGAATTGTCATCCACAATTTCAACATCCCTAAGTCTGTGTATGGGAGTGTACCATTATTAAAGTGGTGAGATTACCAGAGGTCTAAACCGAATTATGCCACATAAAACTAAGGTTTACATATATAACTGTTATCATAGTTTCATAAATAAATTTATAAATTATTTAATCAATTATAGTATTGTCCTTGCTTTTTTGATGGCCATTTTTATAAGAACATTTTTATTTTTATCACGATAATTATTTCTCTTAATAATACATTATTTTCATGAAAACAGTTAAATATAAATGTTATTATTAACATTATCATTTAAATGTTGCTTGTATTCATTGGATAGATGCTAGTTATTTACCAATTTAATACTTTTAAAGGAAAATGCATTCATTGGCAACATAGTATTTTATATCTAGTTTTGGCAACACTAAAAGAGAATTCTGAACTTGGATTTGAAAACCAAATGTAAAAGAAACTTCTATTGTATAACAAAAATCCATTTTGGACAGGATTTGCGTAAAATCCGTTACATTCTGGAATGAGTAACTATGCAAAATTTCCAGTCAATCGGATGTATAGTTTCCGAGATCTTGTGATGAGTCAGTGGTATTTCACTTATCTATATAGATGAGATGAGATTGTTTTCTTTTGTCTACGCAGGACATACTCACACAAAACTAATACTGCATGAAGAGTTTTG